TCTTTGGGATTGGAATGACAAGTGACCTTTTCCAGTCCTATGGCCACTGCTGAGTTTTCCAAATTTGCAGGCATAGTGAATGCAGTGCTTTCACAGCATCATCTTTTAGGATTTCAAATAGCTCAGCTGGAATTCCATCACCTCCACTAGCTTGGTTCGTAATAATGATTCCTAAGGTCCAGTTGACTTCACACTCCAGGATGTATGGTTCTAGGTGAGTGATCACACCATTGTGGTTATCTGATCATTAAGACCTTTTTTTGTATAATTCTTCTGTGTCTTCTTGCCTCCTCTTTTTAATCTTTTCTGCTTCTGTTAGGTCCTTGCTGTTTCTGTCCTTTATTGTGCCCATCCTTGGCATGAAGTGTTTCCTTTATATCTCCAATTTTCTTAATGAGATTGCTAGTTTTTCCCATTCTATTGTTTTTCTCTGTTTCTTTGCCTTGTTCATTTCAGGAGGCCTTTTTACCTCTCTTTGTTATTTTCTGGAATTCTCCATTCATTTGGGTATCTTTCCCTTTCTTTCCCTTACTTGTTGCTTCTCTTCTTTCCTCAGACATTTGTAAAGCCTCCTCAGACAATCTCTTTGCCTTCTTGCATTTCTTTGGGGTGGTTTTGGTCACTGCCTCCTATACTGTGTTACAAACTTCCATCCATAGTTGTTCAGGCACTCTGTCTACCAGATCTAATTCCTTGAATTTATTTGTCACTTCCACTGTATAATCATAAGAGATTTGATTTAGGTCGTATCTGAATGACCTAGTGGTTTTCCCTACTTTCTTCAATTTAAGCCTGAATTTTGCAATAAGGATCTCATGATCTGAGCTTTGCTGACAGTATAGAGCTTTTCTATCTTCAGATGCAAAGGATAGTCAGTCTGATTTTGATATTGACAATTTGGTGATGTCAATGTGTAGAGTTGTCTCTTGCGTTACTGGAAGAGGGTGTTTGTTATGACCAGTGTGTTCTCTTGACAAAACTCTGTTAGCCTTTACCCTGTTACATTTTGTACTCCAGGGCCAAACTTGCCTGTTACTCCAGGTATCTCTTGAATTCCTACTTGAATTCCAATCCCCGGTGGTGACTTTGGTGTTAGTACTAGAAGGTCTTGGAGGTCTTCATAGAACCGTTCAACTTCTGCTTCTTCGGCATTGGTGATTGAGGCATAGACTTGGATTACTTGTTGAATGGTTTGCCTTGGAAATGAACCAAAATCATTCTGTTGCTTCTGAGATTGCATCCAAGTACTGCATTTTGGACTCTTTTGTTAACTGTGTGGGCTACTCCATTTCTTCTAAGGGATTCTTGCCCACAGTAGTAGATATAGTGGTCATCTGAATTAAATTTGCCCATTCCCATACATTTTAGTTCACAAATTCCTAAGATGTTGATGTTTACTCTTGCCATCTCCTGCTTTAACATGTCCAGTTTTCCTTGATTCATGGACCTAATATGTCACGCTCCTATGCAGTCTTCTTTACAGCATTGGACTTCACTGTCACCAGCAGACACATTGACAGCTGAGCGTCCTTTCCGCTTTGGCCCAGGCACTTCATTGTTCTGGGAGGTGTTAGTAATTGTCCACCACTCTTCCTCAGTAGTGTGTTGGACGCTTCCAGACCTGGGGGGCTCATCTTCCAGGGTCATTTGTGTTTGCCTTTTCAAACTGTTCATGGTGTTGTCGCGGCAAGAATATTGGTTGCTGCTGCTGCTGCTATGTCGCGGCAGTTGTGTCTGACTCTGTGCGACCCCACAGACGGCAGGCCACCAGGCTCCTCTGTCCCTGGGATTCTCCAGGCAAGAACACTGGAGTGGGTTGCCATTTCCTTCTCCAGTGCTTGCATGCATGCATGCTAAGTTGCTTCAGTCATGTCCGATTCCGTGCAGCCCCATAGGTGGCAGCCCGCCAGGCTCCTCTGTCCCTGGGATTCTCCAGGCAAGAACACTGGAGTGGGTTGCCATTTCCTTCTCCAGTGCATGCATGCATGCATGCATGCATGCTAAGTCGCTTCAGTCATGTCCGATTCCGTGCAGCCCCATAGATGGCAGCCCGCCAGGCTCCCCCGTCCCTGGGATTCTCCAGGCAAGAACACTGGAGTGGGTTGCCATTTCCTTTTCCAGTAGACCACAGACCATGTACGTTTCATCAGAAGTTTTCACAAGCGCTTTCACCATGATAAGGCTATGATCCATGAAGGGGTATGTGGAGGTAGATAGTAAGCAAATAAATAAAATAAATTAAGGTTAGTACTACGTATTGAGAGGAAAATTAAACAATCGTGTCAGAGTGGTCCTATGCTAAAAAGTGTTTTAGACTGAGTGCTGAGGATAATTGAGATGAGTCCTGGTTTATTAATCACTAAGACTATAAATCAGCTGTTTTGGTAATGGCTTTTAAGAAATCAGCCACAAACTTAATATCAATTTCCTTCTTCTGTAAGTATGTCATATTTTGAGAACATCTATGTTCTCTGTATGTGGATGCATTCATGTTGGATAAAGCAATGCTGTCCTCTCGTGGTCGTCGGTTTAATAGCATTGCCAGCTCTACTTGGGCAAATCTATTTCAAGGATGTACTCTGTTGGGATTTACTTTTTAAAAATGGATGTCTTTTTTTAGATTGCTTTGTTTTAAAAAGGTCTCTACAATTACTATGCATTTGAAGATTTTATTTAATCTTAAATAATGCTTACAATAGTTTTCTGTATTCAACAATACTTATACAATAGAAAGAAAGATTACCTAGGAAATAGGAAGAAGTCAACTCTCAGAACTGAAAGCAGGTTAATAATGGTAAAAAATAAATAAATCAGACAAGGCGAATTGCTAATACAAGTGTGGAAAATCTGAGCCTTGAACTTGTTTATCAAAACATCTATGAAAGCCCCTTTTCCAAAAGTCTTATTATGTAAACCTTTCAACACTTTTTTAGTAGAAAACTTTATTAGAAGGACATACTTTGGAATTTGAAAAGACAACATTATTAAAAATAGTGAACATTGTTAATAAAACTTCATATTAAACAAATTTCCATTGACATATATTCTTAAATTTAATCTTCTAAATATTTGGCCTATTTCTTTTAAATACTGATTTTTTGACATTTGCTGTTTATAATGTAGACATTTTCTAACTCTTTTCTAAGTCTTTAATTGAAGAGTTTTTTTTAGAATAATGATTTTTATCTCCTAGTAGTTTTCTTATGATTAAATTTATTTATTTTTAATTGAAGGATACTTGCTTTACAGTATTGTGTTGGTTTCTGCCAAACATCAACATGAATCAACCATAACATAGGCATTCCTAGTCGTTTTTTGTTTTGATTTCTTATTTTAGAAAATACATGTAACGTGTTTGAGAAAGTATTAGGTAGCTGACAGAAAAATTTGACTTTTCTCAATCTAGGAAATATGTATTGTGCCTGAAGTCTTCTTTTGCCATAGTGTCTCTTTTTAAGACCCTTGATTGAGTAATTTATTTCCATTCTGTCTGATAGTTATCTCAATAAGAATAAAACTCATACAGACTGATAACACTGCATATTTCTAGTTGAATCTTTATCAGTGATATATACAGTTTTAAATTAGTTACATTCCCTGGTCTAGTCCTTGTGTGCTATTTGAATGCAGTTTAAAAAATTGGTTTTGAATGCTCCATAGTGTTTTCATAATCATGGCATAAATCACAATAAATGTTGAATTTCTAAACATAATGTGAGCTGAGAGAGTGTGTAATTTAACTGGACAGTGTGGGGCTTTGTTTACATTTATTTCACAAAAATATATAAAGATATCTAGCCATTATTTCATCTGCAATGATCTTTTGCTGGCTAGGACTCCTGAAGCTACCTGGTCTCTTTTATGCTTAGCTTGAAAATGTTTGAGTTAATATCCTTTGCGGAAGGTGGGCTGGTAAGAATTCAATGAGTATCTTTGTAAGGACTTAAGAGGGGCAAAGAAAAGAGCCTCTGTGTATGTGGCACCTGTCATCTTGGTATTTTGATAGATTGACTTCAATATGGAAGGGAGATAAAGCCAGACCTTTATTTGAAGGAATGATAGACTTTTAGAATACATGTGTGTATTTGTTTTGTTAGTTGGTAACCAGTGATTCTCGTTTGACTCTCATTTCATACTAGCCTCAGCATATCTCTGCATGTGATGCCTCTTCTCATAATTAGGAGAATTCACTGTGAGAAAAACCAGTACCTTCAGGGATCATATCTAGATTTTTTTCATCTAGGCATAAAAACCAGATATTTCTTTAATAGAATTCAAAAACTAAATCAGTTTTCAATTATGAAACTGAATCACCTTGATTATGTTGTTTTAAATGTTAAGCATAATTTTTACCTTAATTAAAATAACATGATAAGCTTGACCTTCTTTAACCCCTAAAGAATTAAAAATGCCAATCTTAGGATTTTTATTCTAGTTAATGTATGTTTTTCTCTCTTCCACTTTGTAAACATGATGGAGAATGTTTGTTGAAGAGTATTTTGGGGATTTCTCTCTTCATTTTTGAAATCTAATTCTTAGTGAAAATAAAATCCTCAATGTTAGGCTCATTATTGCTGTTCTAACATTGGCTTCCACCAATCATATTCCACAATCAGGAAAAAAGAGAAAGACTGCATAAGATCAACTTTATATACAGCATACAATTGGCAGAAATTAGTATCTAAAATAGGATGTGGTGGGTCAGTTGGGGTTCAGAGCTTTATGGCTTTTTAATTAGTCTTGGTGCAGAGCCTTTTCAGTTTAGTGGCTCCTTTTAATATTGCATAGAATGTCTTGCTATTCTAAAAAAGCACATTGATGAAATGATATTAATAATTGCCATCATTTCACTAATATATATGCTTCATTGATACGCTCACTGTTTGTTGCACCAGCCTATGGCTTTTATGATCACTTACATTAATGCAATTGAGTTCAACCTTATTTTGCAATACCCTAGTATTTTTATAATAAAAGAAGTATTTCTCTCCCATCTGCAGGTGCTGCTGTTTTTTCAAACGAAGGAAAAGGAAAACCATACAGCGCCACAAATGACTCTGGACACAGACAGATCATGGGGAGTTACTTATGTGTTCATCTGCTGTCTTGTGATTGAAATCATCTCTGTAGTGACCACATATATTTTCAAGGACTCACTCTTAGAAACAAAAATGTCATACTTTCATACTTCCTTTTGTGGTTGTCTTACAGTCATTTTTTTGTTTTCCTAATTTAACTTTTATGGAAGCTTTAAAGTTTTGTCAAAACATGAGTGCTTTGCCCATCAGTGAATGGAATGGACCAATGAGGTGGTATTGATGACTTACACAGTTCTATAGAACATTTTTCAGAAGCTCTCCTCCAGTTGTAGAAAGCAGTACAGTATCTGAAATGGCAACCAGTTATATACCTAACCTGTTTTTTTTAAATAACTTCTGTAAGAGCATAATCAAACAGGAATTTTCTCCCCAGCGGATAAAGCAACAGAGAAAACAGTTGCCCAAATATTTAAAAGAAGTTATCCCTTGAGAAGTTCATTATCTGTGTGACATCTGCATTGATTTCACTGTTACTGATGGTACTGCTATTCATGAATCACATTAACATTCTCTCCGTGAAATCAAGGTACACTCACTGCCCAGAGGTACTGAGGAAAAAGCTCTATGGGTTCAGCCGATGGTAGTTGGTAAAATGAATCACAAAATAGCGTGGTAAAGATGAGCTCTGCTTTTGTTGCACCACTATGTGAAGTACAGTGTTGCCGAAGTGGCAAAAGCGCTTATTTTTTAAAAATGCGAAATATTTGTGTAATGTAACTTTATGCTTCCAGATAATGATGTATGTTAGACAGCAAGAAGTGAATACTTTGAGAAATGAGATATGTTGGAGTTTGTGGAGAAATACACTAGAAGGAATGAATGTGAATCTCGCCGCATCGTATGAGGTTGAAGTCCAAGGAAGTCCCACTGAAGCCTGCTGCTGAACGACTGCCTTCTCCTTGAGCAGAAAGCTTTGGATGTGCCACGCCATGGTGTCTGTTTATTAATTAGTTGCTCTTTGATTAAAAAGGGCCCCCCAGCAATAAAAACGGGGTCCCCCTATTGCCATCTGCGCACACTAGTTTCTTGTATTCAACTTTGTTGGTTCTCTGGAATTTTCCTGCTTTTAGTATAGTTTTGATGATTGAAAACTATTTTGGAAAGGATGGGTCAGGTGCTTTGTCCCCATAGTCTTTTGAAGTGCCTGCATATGAACAAAGAAACGGTTCTGTTTTAAAAAAATAGGAAACCCATTCCATTTTTCAAGAATGTTTTGTTTTAAGCCATACAGACACAAGTTATACTTTTGTCACATTTTCCTAGCCAGAATTTTCAAGGAGAGTTAACATAAAAAGACTGGCTAGAAAGATAACTGTATTGTTCAGATCTCATATTCACCTTTTGTTTATGAAATTGTTACTTACTCCTTCAATGCAGCCCCCCTTTTTTTTTTGTCTCTTTAAGTGCATGCCTCTGGGCAAGCTTATTTATTTTTATTGTTTCAAGGTAACATTTAAAATGTGTAATTAAAGTAAATAAATCTACATTTTTGACTTCATTATTGTATTTCCAGAAATTTGCTTGTACTTTGTAATTTATTTTCTTATTAGCCAAAAGTTCAGCGTGTTGTTTTTGATGAATTAGGCACCCATATGAATAGCACAGATCAGGATGTTGTTTCTCATCGTTGCTTGGAATCCTATAAATGATCTTTATAATAAGTTCTTGATTTTAAAGAGCTACACTCAGCCTAGAAAACATATACTGTATAATTTGGTCAACAGTTTCCATTTTATCTATTTGTATACTGTCGTGATGTCTTAAACTACAGGAGTTACATACTGAGTTTTTATTTTTGTTTGCTTTGAGCAAGGTAGATGGATGTTTTAGCCATTATAATGTGAAACCACTTCTTTCTTTACAGTATTTGACCAAATTTGTGTGTCTCTGATATTTGTAAATACATGCAATATCTGTATTTCTTATCATAAGCCTGTTTAGTTTTATTCTCAGTAGGGTTTTTGGACTGTACAGTGTTTATATGATCTGAACTCCTTATACATAAGAAGGTGTGTATATTAATCCAATTATGGACTTAAAATATTTTAAAAGTATAAATACCCTTATTTGCTGCAAAGACCAGTGTGTAGACATTTGCTTTTTAGCAATATTTTTAAGTGCTCCATTTTAATGCCAAGGAATAAGTCTTCTGGCAACACAAACTGGTCAATAATAGGTAATGCAGGTATGTTCAGGTTAAGCCAACAATGTTTTGCATTTTTATGCTTCTTTTCTGTCAACACTAATGAAGTCAACATTGCCTGAATGTCTGAATAATGAAACACATCCCTGTTTAAAAGTATGTAACTGAAAAAGAAATAAAAAATAAAGGTAGTTTTTTTAAACTTGCTCTTTCCCCTTTCCTCTGATCATGGGTAAAATAATGCCACTCACTAACTGAAGATAGAAATTTTTAAAGTTCAGTTTATGTGAATAAATTTAGTATATGTGAAAAGCAGACCTGAAGGAACATTCTTTTGTGTTTTTGTTTTTTGTTTTGCTTTGTTGGAACTCTATTGTAAGGAGTACGTACATAGCTGGGTGTATCCAAGCTTTCTTTAATGAAAGTTTAAAAACATTTTTTTATTTCTCTGAACTCTTTCATAGAGCAATTAATTAGAACTAATGCCATTAATAAACAAAGAAAATAAACTATCATTTCATTCCTTTTAAAAAATGAAGTCATACTATTATGTTTCCAGAAATGAAGTATTATTGCTCTAGTTTGAAGTGAATGACTTTTAAGATCATTGCAGATGCAGAGCAGATATCTGTGGCAGTATCTCACAGTTCATCATTGTGCTCTTCGCAATAGGGGGTTTTACAAGGTGCTGCCGTGCTTACTGAAAGATGGCAAAGGTAAGGTAAGTCAAAGCAGCAATGTTAAGTCCGTACGTGTCCACTAAACACCACCATTCAGAAATCGTAAGAAGATCTGGAGATCAAACATAGCATAGGTTAAGCATGGGTTAAAAGGCCTATCTAGAAATAAATGACCTAAGATTAGAGTTTGGCCTGAATGATTATATAGTTGCTTTAGTCAGAGCGCCCTTGGCTTTGCAAGTGCTAGAAACCTAACGTGGCTTCAGCAGTAGGCATGCACATTATTGCATTTGAGAAGTCCATTCATAGGCGTGGCTTCAGACATGCTCAATCCTGGTGTAAGGTTCAGGAATCTGTCTTTCTCTCTGTTTTGCTTCCTACCCTTCTGTTGTTGTTGTCAGGGGGATTTTTCACACGTGATGGTAAAATGACCACGTAACAACTTTAGACTACTGCCTTCTTCATAACCTCAGCCAAAACAAAGGAGAGTTTCTCTCAACAGTTTCAACAGAATCCTGACATTTATTCCTTCATTGGTTCACATGCCCACCCCAGAGCCAATTACTGTGGCCCAGGAAATGTTCTCCCATCTTCACAGGACACACTGGACTCAAAAATGAGGTAGAAGGGGTGTTCCCAAAAGAAAATGAGGGTTGTGTTATCAGAAGGAAAGTGAATGGATTCTGTGCAGGCAAAATCTAGATATTTGCTGTCATGGTGAGAAAAATGAGTGTAAAGGGAAAAAATAATTGCTTTAAATTAGAAAATGTTTCTATTATTGAGACATATTAGTCAATATATTACTGAAAATCACATACACATTTGAAAAATGTTTTGGACTTAGGTAAAAATGGACATCATAAGTACCATATTTGATGTGTTTTTGTTTAGTTTTTAAAGGTGTCTGTGATTACCATTGGATTAGTGGAGTGAAAAGCTAATCTTTCTACTAGAGAAGAAGTAAATGGAATTGTAAAGTTTTGCTGATGTTTGGGATGATGAGTTTCTTCTCTGCCCATCTCTAATATGGACCCACATATTATTTTCTTAGGAAATTTACCTCATAGGTATACATGGATCATAACCAAAGAAAGGACTACATATACAAGTATTATCAGGTAATACTGCTGGGATATGAAAATGGTTTTAGAAGGAACAGTTGTTCACAGGAATGTTTACCATACTGTGATTTTGCTTAATATGAAAAACAGTCTTGCACTGCTCCAGAGTGGGGTTGGCAAACTTTGGTTTTATGGGACCAAAGGCAAAATTGAAGTTTTTATATACTTGCATAATGAGAAAACAAATTTCCAATAGTTTTGTATTGATGAAGTTCAAAATACATGTGAACACTTGAGTACAATTTTTTTTGTAATACAAGTCTACTGATAAGAATTGAGGTATTTTGAGAAGATAATATTTCACTTAGGAGTTTGAAATTGATTGCAAATGATCATCTGTTATGCTGATCTGTAATGTGATTTTATGTATTTCATCTTTGAAAATGTCTTCAGTTAGATATTACCAAATACTGTATCAGTCCATACGTATATGATTTTGTTAGAGCATATTCACCATTAGGAAGGTGTTTTCTTTTTTTTTTCCATTTATTTTTATTAGTTGGAGGCTAATTACTTTACATCATTGCAGTAGTTTTTATCATACATTGAAATGAATTAGCCATGGATTTACTCCCATCAGCAGACGAATGGATGAGGAAGCTGTGGTACATATACACCATGGAATATTACTCAGCCATTAAAAAGAATTCATTTGAATCAGTTCTAAGGAAGGTGTTTTATAGAATTTTCTTAGATTCTGCCCTTGATATTTGCCATTGACATATCATTACACTGCAGATTAGTTACTTCCTGTTGAAGATTAGATGGATGCTCCTCATTTGTACAGTTAAGTGGATCCAAAAATGTAGCTGAAACAGCAGTTGAGTGTGAAAAACATATCCACCGCAAATTGTGTAGGAATGGATACCTTGCTGCTTGTTTTAACTTGACAGCATAGGAAGTGGATAAAGTGGCTTGACATTACTTGTGATGTAAACAGCATTAGTTTTGTCATAATGATTTTGTTGCAGTATAAATGTCACATATAAGTGCTGTTTTGCCTTAAAGTTTTTAAGCTGATTTACTAAGAAATGTAATCAAATCTGCTGCAAAACCTAATTTTCAAATCTATTTAGTATTCATTAATAATAGGTGAAGATAATACCTATTCAGAAAAAATTCAGTGTTGGTTCTGAGCTCAAAAAAACTTGCAATAAAACTTTCCTACTAATATCAAACTGCTGTGTAGTTGGGCAAGTCAAGATATTCAGTTTCTATTCCTAGCAAAAACTTATTAGAAGTAATGATAGTTAAAACTGCAAGACTGAATGAAATTCACCACTGACTTAACTAGTTCAATAACATGACAGATTCATATAGTTCCCCCAGAATACCTGCTGATGAATCATGTAATGCATAAAGATTGATTTTAAACATTTTACACTTTCACAAGCTTTGAAAATTTGCCCAGTAAACCATTTTCTACTCCATATGCTTGTACCACCATTAAGTTACAGCACATCTTCACAGACACTACTTCAGTTAGCACTGATGCTTTCTCAAGTTCTTTAAAAATCTTTTCTCTTAAAAAAAAAAAAAATCTCTATTGGAGTTGTTCCATGGAGTCTATTCACAGAGGCCAATTCCTGAGTTACTTTAAGCTCCATCTCTTGTAATCAACAACTGGGCAATATTGGTAACATGTATTGACTCATGAAAAGCCAAATCATTTGCCGTGTTTTTTAGTTGACAATTAGTGTCTTCAAGCAACTGTCCTTGCTCAAAAGCTAGTCGTCTTCAATGTGTTTTATCTTCCCTGGACACCCTTTGTAGCTGCTGCAGTCAAACACAATTTAATTAACTTAACTCACGTCGGTGAAGAACTGTTTGCTTGGCTAACAGATGAGCCACTTGGAAAGTAACTTTTGTTGCACCTTCATTCTCATTTTTTGTGTGTTTGAATAAATTGTATGATATTCTGCTCTAAAGTTTTAATTGTTCTTACTGTTGCTTTCCTGTGAGTTGGGAATATTGTGATGAGTGCTTGGTCTGGTAATGTGGAAATAAATTGTATTCCTTTAACACAGCTGAAGTGTCACTGCATAATAAACATGATGCTTTGCTATTATAATTTTATAACAAAATAATCCACATTCCACCATGCCTTAAAAAGCACAACTCTCAAAATTCACTTTACTTTTTGAAATATGATTAACCTGCGTTAGTAATAAAAGTAATAAAATGTTTGCATGACCCTATGTGTAGCACTTGAAATGCTGTCGAATGACCACTGTGTCCCTGAGATTTGTAGTGTGTTGAGCAGCAGTGTAAAGTAGTGAGCACCACATATGGTCTCTTTCACAACTATTCAGCTTTGCCTTTGTAGCGTGAAAGCAGTCGTAGACAAGATGTCAATGAATGAGCAAGGGTGTGTTCCAATAAAGTTTTATTTATGGGTACTGAAATTTGAATTTTATATAGTTTTTATGTATCATGAAGTATTCTTTGGATATTTTTCAACCATTTAAAAAATGCAAATACCATTCCTTAGTTCATGGGCAAAATGAAAGCAGGAGTTGGACTGGATCTGGCTTGCAGACCATGGCTTGCCAACTTCTGTTCTGGACCACATTGGAAAGATTTGAATGTTTGAAGTTAAATTTTTTTTTTTTAACCTAATTGAGTGACACAACTTAAAAGATAACCTTTCTTCACTTTATAAAAGTAGGGGTCATTTTGAAATAACCTGAAGGATTATGATAAAGAAAATGCTCTGTAGTACATTTGGGAGTTATAAATGAGATAATTCAGTGTCTCATTTGAGCTTAGGTGTTGAAGCAGTGCATGGTCTTAGAAAGAGCATGAATTTGGGGACCAAACAAATTTAATTTGATTTGCAATTTTTTCACTTGCCTTGTGAGAACTGTGGCAAGTTACTTGACTTTTTAGCATCAGTTTCCTCACCTCAGATTGGAGTAATGCTTTCTTTGCAGCACGTCTCTGAAGTTTAGCAGTTATAAGAGCTCTCAATGCAGTCTGCCATTTACTGTTACTCTCATGATAAACCATATTTGAAAACTGAGCAGCACCTTTATTCCTCAAGCAGAGTGTGTGCTTCTTCTTTTTGAGACAAGACTTTGGTCTGGTATTGATTAAACTGTGTCTTAGATTTAAGCTGTTGTTCTCTGTTTAAAAATAATTGTACCCTGATTTTATCACATTGCACAATTGGCTATTTTGACTCATAACAGCATTGATAAGTTAAAAATTATTAATTCTGTACCTTTAATGATAAAAAAACAAGAGGCAAGGACAAAGCCCTATGCCATGTCACTGTATTCCTGCTTGCTTTAAGCTCAGTATCAGTCCAGTAAACCTAAGACACGATGCCTAAGTGGGCTGTCTAATGTATGACAATCCTCTGCCATTTTGCTACCATGAGCTATTTATGTTTTTCTGAAATCTAGGTGAACTGAACAATTTAGTCCATTTCTTTGCCCTCCCATTCTCATTATTCCATCTGAAAAAGGAACTGAATTTAGTTTGTAATGTCTTTCCCTAATGAATCCGTGTTTA